AAAACGATCGAATTTTCAATATTGTCAATAAATGTTATTAAATTTTGGCAATCAAGATTAATCTGGTAAAGAATACTTTGATAAGTTATGTAATTATCCAAAGTGATTATTTTGGTTTCTAATGAATATTTAAATTTTTCTATATTGTCTTGCAATTTTTGTTGATTTTGCCACAAGGTTGATAAAGATTGATTATAATGATTAACAAGCTTTTTGTACAAAGTTGACTGAAGGTTAAGTTCATGAATTACATTTTTCTGATTTAATTGTAAAATATTAATTGCTTTATCGTATCGTTCTCCATCATCAGCATCTAAAGTTCCAAAAGCCCATTTATTAATTTTGCCTATTCCATCTATTAAACCTCTTTAGAGCGAATATGTGGATGTAAATTTTCAAATTTTCTTTCGAGAATTTTTATTAAGAATTCGGTTCTTTTTGTCATTTGTTCAGCTAAGTTATGAAAAGATATAGGGTTAGAAGCGTTACTTACTATTAGACTATTCTTAAGGCTATAAAAATGGTTAGTTAAACTAGTTATCTGTTTAGTTACTTCTCTTAAATCTAGATAGTGTATAAAGATATGCTTAGTGTAAATAATTTTACAGGGTCCTAATAGTATGGGTAACAAAGGATTCGTTATAGGAGTAATTTTTACATCTTCTCCTTCACATTTCCGTTGAAGTGCCAGGAATATCAGGAGCAAACACGTTGTCCGGATTTTCATTTTCCTGAAAAGATATTTTTTGTTTTACTTTGGGTTTTCTGATTATATTTTTATGGTAATTTCCTTTATTAGTTTGTAAGATAAGACCTGAATCTTGGACTACTTCAGTCTTTTTAAATTTTGGTGCCTTTTTATTGCGCAATTTTGTTTTGACGTATGCAACGTCCTGGTTAGAGAAATCTGGAGGGTCATTTCGATTTTCATTTAATTTATTAATTATTTTTTCTTTTGTTTCTTCGTTTCTACTTTTTATTATTTCGTATAACTGTTTACTTGCTTTTTTATGGTTTTGTACATAGTATGATAAAATAAGGTTATCGTCCAAGTCGAAAGGATCTCGACTATTAATGTGTCCTTTTATTATTTCAAATGGGGTAAACTTAGTGATGGAATGAATTGAATTATTATAGCTTAGAATAGCATGTTTTATTAATTGGTTAGGGGTTAATTCTTTATTTTCTTCTCTAAGACAGCGAAAGCATTCTATTAGTGTAGAATGAAATCTTTCTACGGGGGAGTTGGAATTACTATTTTTAGAAGTTGTGAAATGTAGTTCTATATGGTGAAGTTTACAAAAATCTTTAAGGTCATTATGTTTGAATTCTGTGCCACAGTCGGCAGTAATTTTATAAGGTAAACCGTGTGGCTTACGAGGAGAAGTAAATTTTCCACTACGGAGGTGCCATTGACACTAGGTAAAGGATAAGCTTGGACATATCTCGAAAATGAATCTATAATCGTTAAATATGATTGGTTAGAAATTTTACAGACATCTACATGAATATGTTCAAAGGGTTTTGATGCAGTGGGAGTTAGACTCCCACTAAGTATTTAGGGCTTTTTCGGTTATGGGTATACCTAGAATGGGATTTTCTAAAGAAGTATGACAGGTTTCTAAGTCTAAGTCATCTCTTTCGGGATTTTCAAGAGGGGGTCGAACTTGTATGTCCGAAATAATATTTATTTTACTAGTTGATCCATCATTTAGTAAGGAGTCAAGGTCTCTTTCTGAAACTTGCGGTAAGTCGTCAAAGTTGCGTAGTTCATTATCTATTATTTCATTTATGTCACCTAAATTAACGTCCATCGATTCCGTTTCGAGAGCATTTAAATCGGAATCTATTTTAATTCTAGAAAGCGCGTCGGCTACTTTATTATTTTTCCCTTTTAAATATTGGATATCATAATCAAATTCTTCGAGCTTAAGTCTCCACCGTACTAAGCGAGAGTTTGGCTCTTTAAGTTAAAATAACCACTTAAGGGGTTTATGATCAGTTAAAATTTGGAATCTGCGACCAAAGAGATAGGGTCGAAAATATTTGCAACCGTATACAATCGCTAATAACTCTTTCTCTATGGTTGAATAATTAATTTCGGCTGAATTTAACGTACGTGAGGCGTAACATATAGGATGGTTATCTTGCATGACAACGCTGTCAACTGCATAATTAGAAGCATCAATTTGTGTTAAAGTCGGGATAAGCTAAAATAGGGTCTGAAGTCAAAAGATTTTTATAAATATTAAAACAGTCTAAGAATTCTTTGTTGTGGATAACTTTCTGATCCTTTTTTAAACACATGGTCATAGGTTTAGTTATAGCTGCAAAGTTTTTAATGAATTTTCTATAGTATCCTAACAAACCTAAAAATGATTTTATTTCTTTCTGCGTACGAGGGATAGGAAAATTTTTAATCGCTCTAATCTTTTTTGGATTAGGCTTAACTCCGTCTGGGGTCACTATATGCCCTAAAAATTCAACTTCCTTTCTAAGGAATTCGCATTTGTCAATTTGTATTTTTAATTGTGCGTCTTTTAATTTTGCAAACACCAATTTTAAGTTTTGAATGTGCTCTTGGAGGCTTGTGCTAAAAATAATTATATCGTATATCGTCCATATATATCATACAGGTTTTGTTCTGTAAATCCTTTAATATTTCATCCATTATCCTTTGGAAGGTGGATGGTGCGTTTTTTAAGCCAAAAGGCATTCTTAAAAATTCGTAGTGTCCATTATTAACACTAAATGCTGTTTTTTCTATGGAGCAGGGGCTCATCTCGATTTGATGAAAACCGCTAGCTAAGTCGAGAGTAGTAAAATATTGTGCTCTTCCTAATTTGTCCAATATTTCGGTAATATTGGGTATCGGATATCGATCACTAATGGTTTTATCATTAAGTTTCCTATAATCTATAACACAGCGAAATTTTTGTTGATTGGAAGAATCGAGTTTCTTCTTTACTATCCAAAGTGGGGAACCCCAGGGACTATTACTGGCTCTAATAATTCCGTCGTCTAACATTTTGTCAATTTGCTTTTTAATTTCTTCCTTGTGAACATAAGGATATCTGTACGACTTTACATGTACAGGTTCCTCGTCGGTTGTTTTAATAACATGTTTTACTTTTGACGTAAATGTAAGTGGGTCGCCTGGTTTCAAAAATATGTCTTTATATTGCGAACATAATTTAATAATTTCGGATTTTTCTTCCGTGTTCATATGATCCGTTCTAATAAGATTTTGGATTTGCATTTTATCTATTTTATAATTATTTTGTCTATTAGAAAATTCAAATTTATAACATTGATAAACGTTAGAATCGTATGGATAAGCGTTTATGGGTTTTAATAAAGTTATAGATAAATTTTTATTAGTTTCATTGACAAATTCTACTAAAGCTAAACCATCATTTGCTACAGTTAGCATTTCTGGTACATACATATCACCTAAAATTATCTTATCAATTAATATTTCACCGTTCGGTACGGTCACAGGGACTTCTTTTCTAATCTTCTCATAAGGGCCAACAGATATTTCAAACTTTATGTCTGATGGTTTTCTAAATTTAATAGGGATTATTGTGTCTCTGCTAACGAGACATTTATTATTAAAATCAATGTTAAACTTCATGGATAATAGGTCATTAACACCGACCAAGCCATCATAAAACTCATGAAAGTCATATAATATGTAGTGCAGTATGTTGTTTCGATTAAATTCTTGGAACGCCGGTATGGCTGCTTGGTATTTGATATCTTTCGTGCCAAGAGACGTAGAAATTGAAACGTTTGAAGAATATATGCAATCTGAATAAAATTGTTCAGCAATACTGGGTTTTAAGATTGATTTCGTACTACCAGTATCAATTAATAATTTTAATGGGGGATTAGAAATAGTGATGTAAGGTAAAGGGTTATTAGAGGTTAAATTTAATTCGATTAAGTTATTTGGTTTTCTGAGGTGGTTTCCTGAAAATTCTGAGGAAAATAATCTAAATCTACTTGCTCACCGGAATGGATATCTGCGTCGACGTCGCTATGCGTCTGTTCGCATTCTTGTCTATCGTAATCATTATTATATAATTCTTCAACTATAATATTCGGCTTTTGCCCATTATTTTGAAAATAGTTTCTATTAAAATTATTTGTTCTTCTGTTGAACGTTGAAGGGAATCTAGAATTTGTAGAAATATTCATCGGTTCCGGCTTTGGGGCGCGATGTTGGGGAGTTTGATTTGGTCTGAAAACATTCGTATTTCGGGAAGGTCCAAAGACTTCTGAGTTAGTTGGGAGTCTTTTGGGGGGGTAGCTGTTGAGGCTGTACATTTGGTCATTATATGCTCTATATGTAATAATTAAGTTATCGCAAAGATAAATACATTTATTTAAAGTATTAGTATCTCCATCATAAGGTCTAATAATTGAAATTTTTGACTTAAATAGTTCCCAATTAATGGGACGACGTTCGAACGTCGGCGTCGGCGTGGCCGTTGCTTGGTTAGTTGCCATTTTAATGTTTTTATTATCTTTATTCTTCCTACTTTTAAAGTTAATCTTTAGATTCTTAAGAGATTCTACCAAGGAATTAGCGTCAATCATAAAATGAAAATATCGTCTAATAAACAATGTCTTAACAAGCTATCTTCCGAATTTATAAAAAATAAATAAGGAAGGCAAGAAGGAACTTGGCACTCACCTCGATAGTCTCTGCCAACTACTTCTCCAAATTCGTCCACCCAAATAAAGGACTGCTGTCACTGAAGGGCTGCTTTCCAATGGATTTGCACTTAAGGCGTTGAAACACCAAAGTCCCGAAAAAGTCTGCTTTCCGATAGATACGAAATTCACAGTTTCGCGACTCGCACAAATCCTACTGACTGCGCCAATTTTAAATTTCAAAAAATGAAATTTGTTTTTAAAAAATATTTTTATTTCTAAGCTACAATTTTAATACATCTAAACTGAACAAGACCAAGAATAATAATAATTTTACAATGCAAATAACAAAGAAACAATATGACAACTTCTGGGGGAAACTGCAGAGTAAGCTGCAGGTGTTGGTTGCGATTCTGCCAGGTCCGGACTTTCGTACCATGTAACTAGCGATAAGACACAGTTAATAAATATAGAGTGTACGAATAGTATAAAGGGGCTTGCAAAATATAACATTACAATGGAAATTTTTATTAACGCTAATAAAATATTTTAATAGTTCAAAGTGGTGCGTTAATTTCTTGGAGAATATATATATATATATATATATATATATATATATATATATATATATATATATATACATATATATATACATATATATATATATATATATATATATATATATATATAATATATATATATATATGTATAACCAAACTTATATGGAATCACCCAGTATTTCCGATTTTGTATTACTAAATACTATTAGTATTATTAAAGTATTACTAATTTTTTTAATGGAAAATGAACTACATTTTATACTAAACCAGTTTAATTACTATCAAAAAAACAATCAAAAAATATTACAAATGCATGAAATTAACAAAACGCAAAAAAACACGAACAAATGAAAACATTGCAATGGTTGACTAAAGAAAGATACAGTCTTGTTGTTCATTTTAATAGTCAGTGTTGCCACCTCTAGCTCTAATACAAGCTTCAATCCGACGGAGAATGCTTCTAATCAAATCGTCAACTTGTTCTTGAGGTAAGTTTGCCCATTTTTCTAGAGCGGCTTGAATGAGCTGATCCGCATTACCTGGATTATCCCTTCGAGCTCTAATCCTTCTTTTAATGAGGTTCCACACATGCTCAATGGGATTAATATCAGGTGAGCAGGCAGGCCAGCTCAGAACAGTGACATCTTCAGTTTCCAGAAAGTCTGTGGCAACTCTGCTGGTATGTGGATGGGCATTATCGTGCATGAAAATGAAAATATTTCCCACTGCACCTCGCCACAGCCTAACTATGGGTTCTAGTACCAAATCGACATACCGGCGACCCGTTAAACTTTGCCGTAAGGGACGCAAAGGTGTTTTTTCTCCATCATAATACCTCCCCAAAACATTACAGTTCGTCCTTTATATTTTGGAACGGATCTGGCAGTTTGCAGTCTAGCTTATCTGCCTCAATCATTCATCTGAAAAAAGGACATTTTGCCTATCTTCATTTGTCCAGTTCTTGTGTCCAAACACCAATTCAGCTGATCAATTTTGTTCTGTCTGGATAACTCGGGAACCCTCAACTGCCTCCTGCTAAATAAATTTTGGGAACGAAGTCTCTTTCGTACTGTTTCAACTGAAATGTCAATACCTGTAGTCTGCAAAAGTTGCCTTTGGAGCTCCGGATGAGAAGAGGTTGGATTTCTTCTAGCTATTTGACCTAAAAACCGGTCTTGTCGATCACTAGTTACTCTACGACGACTTTCTCTAGGCCTGTTCTTGAGTGTACCCAATTCTAAAAATCTTGCATATGTTTTTGAAACAACGCTCTGCGAGACGTGTAGCGTAGCTGAAATTTGCCTTTGTGACATTCCCTGCTCAACAAGAGCAACAATTCTTCCCCTCTGAACATCTGACAAACCTACGTAGGGCATAATTACCTTTTTTTGAACACAAACTTAACTTTACTCTGACGTCTCGGTTTTACAACTTGACACAAATAATAAAATTTTTCAATGTGTACTTGATCAAATTTTATCAATTATGAATCGCATTTACAACAAAAACCTTTATCTCTTATATACAAAAAAGTTGTCATACATTTCTTATTATTAGTAAGAAATACTGGGTAATTCCATATAAGTATATATATATATATATATATATATATATATATATATATATATATATATATATATATATATATATATATATGTTCGGAAAGATTTCCGCGGTTAGTACAATGAAACTTAGAGCTAAGATTAATATTATTACTAAAATTAATATCAAACTCACCAGTCTTCCGGGTTGAACCGCGTCGATATCCATTTTGCCGAGCTTTCGGCATCCTCTCTGATGCCTTCCTCAGGGCTTCCGAGGTCTCAGTCTCCCGAGCCCCCAGACACTACTACACTGTTCACTGATCACTGCGCTGTCACTACTCAGTATAACAATAACAAAATGTTATTTAGATTAACTATTTCTTAATTCAGTTTGTAAATAGAATGTTTTGTTTATGAGTTTAATTTATTATAAAACATAAAATGTTTGATGTAAAATCCAATCATTCTGTTATTACAAATCCTATTGCAAATTATCCTGCTAATATATATATATATATAATATATATTATATATATATATATATATATATATTACAGATTGAACGAAATTAAAACGGAACATACAATTTAATACATGTCTGTTTGAACTGCATTTGAAATAGTGGACCAATATAAAACTTGGACAAAAATAAATCCATACCTGGGTATAGACATTGTATAAAATATCGTTCAACTATCTGTCTCGCAATAATGTTGTTTGCGTAAGACGGGTTTCTCTAAGGAAGCGATAATAGTTCAGGAAATGAAGCTCGAAAAAAGTTAAAACCTCGCAATTTTTTCGTCCTGCATGTATCCAGTTGAAATTTTAACAGAAGGTAGGTGATAGCCCAAGGATCAAAATCTATATCGAACCGAAGTGCGCTGAAGGGTTTTAGGGGTGAAAACTACCCCTAATTGTCAAAAATTATAAAATAATATATTAAACCTGAATATGGGTAAGATTTGGTTTGAATTAGTTAAATAATGATTATTTTATACTTTTGAATAGAGTTCCATCATATTTCAACCCTTAAAAAGCAACCCTTGTTAGAGATTAATGTAAAAAATTACTAATTCTAAAAAAATGTTTTATCCTTGGATCGATTTGTTTAAAAATTTGGATTTAAGCTCAATTCACCCGTTGCTGTATAGTTAATGTCATGTCGACGAACCAAAAATTATAAAATAACACATTAAACCTGAATATGCGTAAAATTTGGTTTGAATTAATTAAATAATGATAGTTTCGTGCTTTTGAATACAGTTTCATCATATTTGAACCCTTAAAAAGCGACCCTTATTAGAGATTAATATAAAAAAATTAGTAATGCGAAGAAAATGATTTCACCTTGAAACGATTTGCATAAAAATTTGGAATTAAGCTCAACTCACCCATCTGCTTTATAGTTTATGTCATGCCGATGAACCCTGATTGTTCTTAGGGCTGAAAACTACCCCTAATTTTCAAAAATTGTAAAATAATATTACAAATCTTAAGATGAGTGAAATTTGGTTTGGATTAGCTAAATAGTGATTTTTTTATACTTTAAAATACAAATTCATACATTTTCAACCCTTAAAAATCAATTGTTATGAGTGCTATAGGTGAAAACAATTTTTTGCCAAAATTTTGCAACTTTTCAACTTTTGAAAATCACCCTTACAACATTGCAGTTTTTATAAACTAATTTATAAGATATAAATTGAAAAAAGTAGAATTAAATACAAAAAAATTTATCAACATAAAAAGGCACCATATATTCTTATACATTTACATAAATAGTTGAAAATATTTACATTTATAGGTAAAACAATTATAATATTAATTTTATTCGTCATCAATTACATCTTCATCGTGATCTATGTCATCCTCATCTTCTTCAATTATTGGTGGACTGTTATTGCACCCTTCACCTGAGCACCCAGAACAAGTAGAGTTACAGTATAAACCAACTTTTCTGCACCCACATGAAACGCCGCATCCTTTTTTGCATTGGCAAAAAATAATTTTCAAAAGTTCATCGGGTGCAGGTTGTTTGTTCATGCGTACGGGTAATAACAAACCATCTTTGGAATACCATCCCCAATCTGTTGCTCTGATATTTTCATTGCCAAGCCATAGACATATGAGCAGATGTTTTATTCTGTTGTATGGGATTTCAAAATAAGAACGCTTAAAATTTCGAATGTATAACGCCCCACTAGCTAATATACCGGTTTTGTAGATTATTATGCTCCGAAATGTACTGTACTATACTAATGGAATTTTCCGGAAAAAAATTAACTGGTTTTTTTAACGTATTTCCTTAAATTTTTAACGATAGAGTGTTTCTTCAAAAACGATTTGTAGAGGTTTTTAAGAGCTACAAGGATCTGTGAATTAAATCTTTTTGGAACCCTTGGTTTTTAAATGGGGTGAGTTTAAAGGGCTCGAAAAAGATGGTGCTTGATCGTAAATCGATGCTTTAAACGGCTATATCTCGCCAAATATTCATTGTACAACAAATCTAAATAAAGGATAATTTTAGTCATTAAAAAAGCTACAATTTGGTAATTTTTATTTTTTTAATATATTCAGTATTTTCGGGCATATTTAAAAAAAGAAGGGTAAAAAATATGAAATTGTAAATCGTTTCTCGCTTTAAGCTGTACTTTTTCTAAAACTAAGCATTTTAAATGGGTCAAACTTCTTGGACGTATTAACAATACATGTACAAAGGGAATTGCAGAAGGGTGAAGATCGATTTTAATTATGGGGGTGGTTAGGGGGTTGTTTTCATCGATTTTTTCGTAAAAAATGAGGTATTGACCTTATTTTCATCATAACTCACTCAATTTTTGAGCTAGAGTCTTTTTTTATGATAGGTCTATTTATGCTCTTTAAAAAAGGTTTTGTGAGTTTTCTTCCAAAAATGCATCATTTTCCCGATATTTGACTTTGAATCTTTCAAATTTGGCATTTGAAGAAAACCGCTGAACATTGATAGGCCGTATTTCGGTTCCTATTATATCGCAAAAACATTTTAAAAAATGAATTGTATTTGTCTTTTTAAAAGCTACAAATTTGTTCTCTACAATTTTTTTGATAAAATGCACCATTTTCGAGTTATTCGCGAAAAATCGATTAAAAACGTGGATTTTTTCGTCTAAAAGTTGTTACTTTCAATCGCGAATAACTTGAAAAAATATCATTTTATAAAAAAAATGTATAGCACATTTTTTGTTTAGAATCACTTTTTTAATCGAAACCTGTAGTTAAAACGTAAAAAAAAATTTCACCCCGGAGATGGGGTGGCAACCACCCCCTAGGCTTTGGCGCACTTTGGTTCGATATAGATTTTGATCCTTAGGCTATTACCTACCTTCTGTTAAATTTCAAGTCAATCCACGCAGCACGAAAAAATTGCGAGGTGAAATGCTTCATTTCCTGGACTATAACTGGTTTGACAGCATAATAAAATCGTAGATTTATGTGTAGCTTTCAATTTTTATGAGTTCAGAATCCAGCAGCCCGCTGAAGTATTGGATTTTTATAATATAATTATTTGACAATCTTTTGTTGGCCAACCACCTACAGCAGAATTGAGCCGAAATACATTATATTCCTATGTTCCGAATTTATTTCGTTCAATCTGTATATATATATATATATATATATATATATATATATATATATATATATATATTTATTTATTTATTTATATTTATGTATTATTTTGTTAACTATTAACCTTAAAGACATTTTATACCAAAATTCAAAAGTATTGATGTTTTTATCTAATTTTCTTTCGTTGTCTGGAGTCATTGCGTTAAATCTGAATTATATATTTGATTTGTAAAATGCGATTATCTCAAAAACTGTTGGGTTTTGAAATAATTAACAAGTATACCTTTTTTTTGTTAAAATAATGTATCTTTAATATTTTTTATCACAAACACCGGTAACTTAAAGAGCAAAAAAGTTAAGTGTAAATGTGTGCCACATATGTAGCATATGTGGCGCCCTCTATCGGCTACATTAAAATATGCATTAAATTATAATTCCTGATATTCAATAGTATCCAGTTATGAATTTTGATACATAAATGTTCACAAACATGAAAGTTATAGCGAAAATTAAAATTTTAATTTTCACTTTAACACCCTGTATCTTTCTTAATATCAACATTTTATTAAAGCAATTTGGCTTAAATCGTAATATTTTAAAGTGTAGAATCTACGGTTTCTTTTTGTACAATTACTTAAGGACCATCCTGTATATATATATATATATATATATATATATATATATATATATATATATATATATATACATATATATATATATATATATATATATACATATATATATATATATATATATATATATATATATATATATATATATATATATACATACAGGGTGGTTCTTAAGTAATTGTACAAAAAGAAACCGCAGATTCTACACTTTAAAATATTATGATTTACCTGTTAATAACTTCAAATCTCAACAGTTTTAGAGATAATCGCATTTTACAAATCAATCGCATAATTCTGATTTAACGCAATTACTCCAGGAAATGAAAGAAAAATAGATAAAAACATCAATACTTCTGAATTTTTTTATAAAATACCTTTAATAAAGGTGATAGTTAACGAAATATTAAATAAAATAAATATATCATCAGGATAATTAATAATAGAATTTGAAAAAGAACAGAATAATTGGATTTTACATCAAATATTTTACGTTTTATATTAAAGTCATAATCAAAACATTTTATCCTCCATTGATACCCAGAACGTAGCAGGTATCCCTGCTACCTTCTGGGTATCAATGCTAAAAATACCCAGAGAGTATCCCCATTCGCAGGGGGCCGCGCCACGATATTTTACTTTTTATTTTGCATTACATGTGGATATACATTGCCCAAACAGCGTATTGATGAAATATAACTTATTTTACTTTTGAGTCGATTTTTTTGCTGGTAAGGTATAAAGAATATATAAGATGTATTTTCTTATTAAAATAATTAAATATTTTTTAGTTACCTTGCCGGAGCATAAAAAATCAACAGATTACATTCAGGGATTGTTTCGAGAAGAAATAAGTTCTAGACCTAGACCTATGAGCTTGCCTTTTAGCAGTAAAAATATTGCATCAAGCAGTACATCTCCTCCAGTTTTTACTCTTTCTGTAACTACTTCGACTACCAGTACAGTATCTAGTGTAACATCAAAATTGAGGTACGTATATAAATAAATTTCTAATAAATCTTATGTTACCACAACTTCAAATTTATTATAGTTCAGTCCTATAGTATCAGTGCAAGTTTATACAACATGATATTTCACGTTTCTTCTTAGCGGAATCACCAGAATCGCGTTTCATCTTTGAGACTCGCTGGATTCACGTTATACCTCTGGATAAGCTGGGCTGGGTGTTGAGTTACAGAGCATACTCAAAATTTCTAAATAATGATATAGTCTCAATAGGTTCTAAAATACTAAGTGGGACACTAGATATATTGCCAACAGTTTAAATTTCCTATAATGCATTATCTGGTAAAGGCAACTTGAAACAGCATGATTGATCCCATACGGTATTTTTTCCGGTTTTTAAAATTTTTCAATTGGTTTCACTATTATTAGCTAGTAATTTACATTTAATTTTCGTATTTTTTTGCTTAGAATATTTGATCTTTTGGCCTTAAATCGACACTTGATAATATCTTTTATGCATTAAATAGCAAAAACATTAGATCCGAGTAAGAATCAAAGGAATTTAATAGATCTTCCTTAGATTCGTGATCAAAAACAGCGATATACACTAGACTAATAAATACAAACGAATGTTTATGTAAATGTGATCTCCAACTTCAAGGCACCGCCAAGGTGCGAAATAAATTTTAACCTAACCTAACCGACTGAAACGACCGCTACCAAAATGACTGCTGTCAGCTATAGCCTAAATCGCTAATGATCTGCTTTGCTGTTTTTTGTAAAAATCAACTATTTTAAATAATTTACAAAACATTAAGTAAAATTCATTTATAACTTGTAGCAAAGTATATATTTTCTTCTTGGTAACAAAGACATATTTTATGATTTTTATGACAGTTAACCTGATAATTATTAGCCCAGTCTGGTTATGCAAAAATCATCGATTTCACAGCAAAATTTTTCGCAGATATCTGAAGCTTTTAAGACATAGGTGGGGGTTACTAGATGACGAATAGATGAAAAAGTACTTGTATTTTTACCTTGCTTTTTTTTTAACAATAATTTATGGTCACAATTTGATTTTTTGTCTATAAGTTTTTTCCCTTATATTTTACATAAACAATATTTATATCATTTTTTTATATCAAGAATATCTTTATTTTCCCGTTTTTTAAATTAAAATTGATAAATAATTTACGGAGATATTTGCAAAAAAGCAGTTTTTTTGTCACTAATTTATAAATTTTATTAATTTTTTTATTAACAAAATAAAATATTATTAATACATTTGAACATCGAGGAATTACCGTCTTTTAAATTTGTGCGAAATTTCCTTCCGATCGGTCAAATAGTTTAAAAGTTATTTAATTTATTTATCCCTGAGGCTAAATATTTAAACTATTGAACTTGCTCTATTAATGATGCTAGACACATTTAGCAAATTTCATAGGATTCTTTAAGACTTAAACTATCTCAGAAGTTAAATGCATATTGCGTTTTCATCGAAATTATTTACAAAATAAACGTTTGAAAAAGGAATATGTTTTTTACTTATAAACAATTGTAATAACTTTTATATTTTTCAAGCTACAGACTTGTAAGTACAACCATTGGATAGCTGGTAAAGAAAGTCGCATTTAGAAATAAAACCTAAGACCAAAAGGAACGAAGTTGGGGACTATTTTTAAAAAAATCACATCTCCATTTTTTATAAACATTAAGAAGTAAAATTTGCACAAATTTGCAATGAAAATCTAAACTTTATATTGACTTTTTTTTCGAGATATCGGAAATTCAACTTAAAACACGTAGGAAAAATTTAAATTATCTCGGCTTTCATTGCAGCTAGAAGCCTCTTTTTTTTAATCTGGGATAGCTCGTCGAAATATGAATAACTAGATAGTTTTCTCTGTTCGGGAAATATGGGAAACCGCGGAAAAATTGAGTCCATTTGAAATTCAAAGTAAAACTTACTTTTTTTTAATTTGGCTGAAATAGTCTAATAATTTTCACCCTCCCCCACGGAAATCTCGGAAAATCAACATATATTTGTTTTTTATATTAATGATAATACTTATTATATATTTTATAAATAAAATTGCAGGTAATTTTTTGCACATTATATTATTATATTCCTTATATTAATTATAATTATTTACTACTTTTACGATATATATGTTTATATATGTGTATAGGTATAAGTACAGTACAAAGACGGTAAACACATTCATTTATGTTTTTAGATCCAAATATCTCCAAATATCACAGAGTATACCGTCTTCATGTTCCTACATTTTATATGCATTCACGTGAATAGGAGAAAGATCATTCATATAATAGAAAACGGTAATATATCTTAGTATGCGTAAAAAAGGCGGGATGAGTAGCAGCTTTCGCGCTTCAAAATTTCGTTAAAATAGTCACTAACTTCGTTCCTATTTATCATAGAAGGTTTTTTTAATGTAAGTTTTTTACCAGCTATCCAATGGTTGTACGTACAAGTCTGTAGCTTTGAAAAATATAGAAGTTGTTACAATTGTTTATAAGTAAAAAAACATACCCCTTTGTTAAACGTTTATTTTGTAAAGAATTTGTATTTGACCGATCGGCGGGAAATTTTGCACAAATTTAACAGACGGTAATTCCTCCATGTTCAAATGTTTTAATAACATTTTATTTTGTTAATAAAAAAATTAATAAAACTTATAAATTAGTGCAAAAAAACTGCTTTTTGCAAATATCTTCGTAAATTATTTATCAATTTTAGTTTAAAAAACGGGAAAATAAAGATATTCTTGAAATAAAAGAATGATATTGTAGGAAATATTGCTTATATTAAGTATTTAGCATAGTTTTATTTGTTAGTTACGCCACTGCGAGATACCACTAAAACCATATTCTTAAGGCGCTACAGACAGGTCGCCACCGCGGGGAGAGAGGCAGGAAAATATAGACAAAATCACACATGCCTGCCCTAAAAGGGATTCGATTTTTAGCACCCGAACTGTAAAGGTTGAAGATTGTGCAACGCCCGCCGGCAGAAAAAGACGTAAACATTTAACGACGGAGTTATTCGATATTTTAATTTGCAAACCATTATCCGTAATCTTGTAATTTTGTGTGTACCTGTAAATACCATCCGTACAGTTTATTGTTATGTAATAAAGACGTATCGTTTGGATCGCGGACTTTTACTCTAACGTTAGTTCCCTTTGAAATAATAAAAGAACTTTTAAGTAAAAACCTACATTTTTGGGGGCTCAACCGGGATTATTTCGAAAGAGACAGTAACGTTTATTTGTGCCGCGAATTATGGATGCAAGATACGGGCAATAAGACAGTGCAGTTTTCGGCTAAACAAAATCGAATCAACGACGTGAGACGTGACTTTTGTAACATATGCGAATTATCAAGTATAGAATAAGAGGCTGGCTGTAATAGTGACGACTGACGACGGCTGTTTGCAGACGACGATAACGATAAGATTAATTTATGGTTTATGGATGTTTGGAGTAGTTTGGACCCACTGGATGATGAGAAATGATCAGGTGACTTTGTTCCTTTAATAGATCGTGCGAAGATTATTTTTCTATCATGAACTGTGAACTTTAAAAAAGAACTTTTAAAATATTTGCAATTATTTGTTGATTTAACTTTTTTCTGTTGATGTGAGGACTTTTTAATAATGATAGTTGATAATTGACTCTATAATAATATTTTAATTTGAATGTTAAAATCAAAATCTTGTAGTAGGATATTTTGTTTTATTTTCAGATATTATTGTGCTTATTATATTATTGTAGTAATACAAAGAGATAAGATTTGCGAATTAAAAGCGACCACAACCTCGTTCACGTAATAATAATTTAGACTACACTCAGAAAAATAATCTAAGCGTTTAACTTTTTAATTTTTTAATTTTCTTTTAAATAACTTTGATATAAATTTTTTAAAATGCAGTCTAAACAAAAGACTCTTACCGATTTTCAAAAAATTAGTCATAATATTAAAAATTCGACATATAAAGCTGTTAAGGCGTTGCACATTATAGCATATGGAGACGAAGGGGTGCCGCGACAAACAAGAAGGAATTTGCGGAATTTTTCAGGCTTTGCATGGGATAAAAATGCCAGCGAATATGCTGATAAGATAAACGACGTAAAACAGAAACTAGATATGCCAGACTTAGTTGCAGTCTGTAACGTATTGGATCTGGATTATTCGGGTGTAAATGACGATGTAATTGAACGTATTTGTTCGTTTTTGAATGAACTAATTGTAGATGACCAGAATGACGAAGATGGCGATGATTACGACGACGCAGATGACGATAAAGAAGCTTCTGATGAAGATAAAGACGTTTATGACGATAAAGACGGTTTCGACGACGAAGACGATAATGAATACGAGGACGATACTGAAAGTAGGCCAACGATGGCTATAAAGACGAAGAAAAAAACAAAATCAGGTAGAATGACGGCCGGTAAAGTAAATGATTCTTTTGCTTTGACTTTTAAAGACGTAGAAGACAGCATAAGACCCTTCGACGGAAAAGACGATTATCCGGTAAGAAAATGGATTACTGACTTCGAAGAAATTTCTGAGTTAATGGGATGGAATGATTTGCAAATGCTAATTTTTGCCAAACGATCCCTAAAAGGAATTGCGAAACTGTATATTCAGTCAGAAAAAGGAATTAATGGCTGGAAAATATTGAAGAAAAGACTTATTTCGGAATTCGAAAATAAAATAAGTAGCGCTGAAATACATAAAATGCTGATGCGTAGAAAGAAAAAACATGATGAAAGTGTACAGGAGTATGTACTGACGATGAGGGAAATTGGTAGCAGAGGTAACATAGAAGACGAGGTCATAATACAATATACAATAGAAGGCATTCAAGACGACCCTGTTAATAAAGTTATGCTTTATGGCGCATACAACTTCAGAGACTTCAAGGAGAAAATTAAATTGTATGAACTCATTAAAAGACAGACAACACATAAATCCTCTACAACTGAAACGCATAGAAAGAAGTGGACAAACAATGAAGTACGACGAGATGGCAGAAATAATGAAATACGACGAGATTATAGAA